GTCTGGGAGTGACAATCATGTGACACGCCTAGAATCTATTAACCCATCAAGTGAGTCATGTGGATCAGTAGTGTTTACAATTATCATTGAATTGATTGTGATGAAAATATAATTAATACAATTTTAGGGTTGAACTTGTTTAACACAAGTGGTTTAATTCAATTATGGATACATACAAGTATGATGCATGCTTAATTGACATGTGCATTGTATAACATGCTTCAATGCAGATGTATAGTAAACTGTGAGAAACATCAGAGAAACATCAGTCATTAATTTATGACTTTAAAATAACATTTTTCTGATAACAAATTGGCAATTGTTAACAAGTCATCGTTCATCATTAATTTCTCAATGATGTTGATCTTTTTTTTATTATTTTCCTAGCATGTTCCTCCCAGAGCCTCAAAAGGCTGGCAGCTGAAGTCTGTTGACAGTGGTTTGAGAATCTGGCAAAAGGACTTGGGAGGAAGTACACCTTCCTGGCTGTCAAGAATAATTTATGCATGTTCTGGAATCATTCCTGCATCCAAGCAGGTAGCTAATAAAAATATTTTAAATAATTTATTAATTTTTATATGGTGAACATATGGCTGTATGATAATTTTTACAATTGTTGATAGTGTTATTTGAAGAATTATGCTTCAGTCACACTTTCCAGGCGTGATTACGTCTAAAAGTCTACACACTTTTTCTAAGTGTGAAAAAGTGTGATTTAAAGTCAGTCACACTTAACTCACACTTTCCAAGTAATATCACACAAGTCATGTGATCAAACTTTAATTTTTACACAGTAATTATGAAATCATTAATTAAGAATTATACTGCAGATGCTGGGGTGTAACTTAAAGTGCTAATAAGGATAAGGTGAAGAGAGATGAAGTTTGTTTTGCATGTTTGTTTTGAGAAACTGATCCATAGTTTTACTTTTTCTGGGCACTGGATGTTTGGTGCAAATCAGAAATCAGAGAATTCTTTAGTTACAAAGCAGTTCTTTGTTAATATTTAGAAATGCAGAGTATAACCCTAACTTGTTAATTTAGATTGTTGTCCTACTACTATTAACACTTTTTAATTATAACCCTGTGGGGAAATGTGACATTTTTTTAGAGAGGGTAGATAAAGGTTTACAAGTGACACGTGAATAAGCGTAAAATTAATATATGACACATCAATTTTACAGAAAGGCAAGGTAAGGTCAGATTTGAAATTTTCCCTTTTACAATTTGTTATGTGAATGCTACCCTCTCTTTAGGGAGAATTAAACATTTAATCTGAACGACTGGTAGACCTCAGATAGACCAGGAGAGTTTGGATACCTGGGAGATGAGTCGTTATTATCTACTGAGACTGATATATTACTAGCATTATTAAATATATCTTATTAACCAAGCACGAGGGCCGTACTGGGAGAATATCAGCCTGAGGTCTTGACAGCGAGGTCCGTACAAAAAAGACCGAGGGCTGATATTCTTCCAGTACGGTCCCGAGCAAGCTTGGTTAATTAAGAGATTTATTATACGACTGAAGTTCAAAGGGACACAAGTGCGGTATCATTCGGGACCATTCGGGACAGTGCCTGGTCCAATACTGAGTGAATATTGACCGGCAATAGAGCATTTTGATTGGTTGATTTTAGTTATCGGCCCTCTGACTGCCCGAGTCGTGTAATAATAGCCATTATTAAATACTAATATTTTCTCAAGGTACACGTAGTGTTATTGGCTGATGATAAATACATCAGCCAAATAACAGGTAAATACATGTAAAGTTACATGTAGGTGATAAATAAAATATTTAATCATTAATTGTCTTGAGTTTGTTATTTTTTTCAAAGAATTTCTCTGACTTCATGTGGTTCTCTTGAATGTTACTCAACAGGAGGTGATGAATGTCTTGAAACAGCCATGTCTTATGATGGAATGGGATCCTTCAGTGAAGACTGTGTCAAAAGTTACCATAGGAACTAATCAGGATGTTGTGTCAGTTTCTTTTAACTGCAACAGTTTTATGGCAAGAGCTGTGGTTCAGTTGAGGGAAATATTTGGTGGAGAGACAAGAGCAGTTTATTCAAGGTAAATAGATTCTGAAAATTTTTCATTGTTCTTTTATGTCCGGGTGAGGGTAGCCCTTGGCTGAAGAAGATTCTAGACTTGCAACAATCAGTTTGATATTTTCAAGTTGTTAATTGATCTCATGATCTTTCCATCTGTTCTTTCTAATTTGTTTTCAATACCTAACATCATTAGATACTGGGATACAGACTTGAAAACAAAGTCTGAAGCATGGTTTGTGAGCTCATTCATTGAACAAGTCATTCCAGCAGAAGGGTCTTTGTTGTCTTTCTTCTTAGTGTCATCTATGGACAATGGTAAGATGTCAATAATAGAATTAACCATTCTACTTAATATATAGTTAATCTGTATGTTGTGGGGGTCATGGCCATTTTTATATATAAGCAATATGGGTGGAGAGGTCTGCCACCCTTATTAATAGCCTCTACAGGCTTGCGCACTACAATGAGAACTGATATTTCTCAGATGTACATGTATGCACATGTGTTCTGTTCTGCATTCTTTGCAATGGCCAACTTACAGTCACTCAGATTAAGTCATTGTGTTATCTAGCTGTGTTATCCAGTTCACGTATTTATCTCGAACTATGTTACAGTCCTGGTTCCAGCACTGGCTGGATCATTGAGTTATGTTCTTGGGCCAGGCACTTAACTCTCACTGTTAATGTTTCTGCCCACCCAGAATCGAGTATAAGTGGGTAACAGCAAACTGCAAGACACCTTACTTTGAGTTCATTGAGTGTACAAAAGTGTACAAATTCATAGTCTGAAGGGGAAAATTTTATTCAAAATATTTTGTGACTTTAAGTTATAATTTGCTTCTCAGTCTGTCAACAATTTGTTTTCAGGAGATGATGAGCCAAGTGAGAGTCTGGTCACATTAATTGTGGCCCCTGTATCAGAACGATTTGCGTCAATACCACAAATGACTGTATCCCGGGTGGCAGGACTTCAGGATTTCTTCACTCACTACAAACCTGATCAGTCTCCCACTAAGTCTGTTGGATCAGAAGCTGGCTCCGCAAGCTTGTCTGGGAGTGACAATCATGTGACACGCCTAGAATCTATTAACCCATCAAGTGAGTCATGTGGATCAGTAGTGTTTACAATTATCATTGAATTGATTGTGATGAAAATATAATTAATACAATTTTAGGGTTGAACTTGTTTAACACAAGTGGTTTAATTCAATTATGGATACATACAAGTATGATGCATGCTTAATTGACATGTGCATTGTATAACATGCTTCAATGCAGATGTATAGTAAACTGTGCAGTTTACTTTTAATGAACACGGAAATTTGGCCAGGGTAGAGAATGCCCTTAGTATCACTGTTGCTAATTAGGGACTAAACGCGTACCCTGAGGTTTGCTTTGTTTATATTTGACATTCTAACCCACTTATTCCAGTGACTATTATGAGATGGCTAATTAATTGATGACACCACTGAGGTCTTGATTGATTGATTGATTGATTCTTCTGCCAGGTAGTAGTGATTTACTTGGTGAAGCAACAGACCTGACAGATGATAACAAAATGAGAGAAAGGGTATGTGACTGTATGTACCAGGTAACATGTCAAATTTTGCCTTCAAAACCACAGCTAGCCTCCTTTGCAGACATTCTTTATGCGTCGAATTAAAAATTTTCCCCCGATGAGAGAATTTTTAATTCGCCACACAAAGAATGTCTGCAAAGGAGGCTAAACCACAGCCAGTCTGGGATGTTTACATGATACCAGCTTTGGCAACTTTTGCAATGATGCAAGATACAATCATTATGTAACCCCGCTACTCCCTTGAGCCTGTCATGTATATCAGTGCAAGTTAACCACTGACAGCTGCTTTCAGTACCAGTGCAGTAGTCTGGTCATTTCCTCATGAAATCTTACAAAGTGAGATTCATGAAACCAAAGAACAATCACCTTTCATGTTATCATTAATTTTTGGCCTACTGGTGGACTTGAGGGGACAGGGGCATGCCTAATGTCTGTCTTGAGATTGGTAGAAAAAATACAGATTTGTAAATGCAATACAAAATGAAGGAATCATCAGGGTGAAGAAACTAAATGTAAGTTTTCCCTGAACATGCACTTTCATTTGAACAGAACTTTTCCTTTCAGCATTTGATCATTGAAAGTAAGTCATATTTAAACATACCACTGTAATAGAATTTTTTAAATTACAAACTGGAGAAACTTGATAGTATTTTCAATTCTATTCAATTTGGAAAACTTTATTATCATGTTATTTCTTTTTTAAAATAATCAACAGGGAAAGGGTGTTGTTGTGAGTGATTCTCGTCTTCCAGAATTTCTCAGCAGGTGATAATCCTTCATCACTTTCTAGGGAGTGTAAATAATTAAAACAGAAGAGTGATTAATTTAAGTTATAGTCTTGATAGATAGGGTAGCTCAAAATTGATGTTAGGATAGCTCAATGAAGAGAGTCAAAGAGGAAAATGTTCATTCATGTGCACTTTAATCTATTGTAAGTCTTAGGAAATATCCTGGAAACCCTCCTGCAAAATTTTTTTTTCAATGTTTCCCCTCCCCACCTCAACGCATTCTCCCCCTTCCTAAGAACTTAAATATGGTCTCATAAAAAGATGTGTAAATATGGTCTCATACACAGAACTTTGTCTATGGATCTTTAACACCACTATGTTCAAAATGTAATTTCTCTCAAAGTCATACTCTTTCATTCCCATGAATGTTATGGTTTTGATTGAAACCTCAGAAAATCTTAATCACACTATTTTCACAAATGACTCAGAATTACTTATTAAATATCTTTTAGTTATCTGGATTTGTTGAAAGCGAGTTTTGTAATGAGTTTTCCGATGAGTTTTCTTTCTTTCTTTCATTCTCTAAATAATAGATTCTTTGGAATGAGTAATTTGATAATATGCGTTTTATTTTTCTGTGCCAGTGAAAGTTTGGAGAGAATGCTCCAAAAGCTGATTGGAATCTATGAAGCCACCGAAGGGACTGATAACTGGACTTCTCAAGGAAAAACAAAGTATGTTGAAAACTTGAAAACTTTTATTGATGTGCACAAGGATAAGTAGAGAACACATGAAGGAGTGGTCCCATCTGTCTGAGGGGAGTTATAAGTTGATTAAAAATGATTGAGGCAGATTGGAGTTCAAATTGAATGACAGGTGCCTACTTCAACTGTCCTTTGTACAGATCTGTCCATTTTGGATTGGAGACATTATGTTATTTCCTTGATAAAGGCATTCATTTTTAGTAGTTGTGATGAATCATCCTGGAGCTTGTTTTTTTTTAAGTGCTAGAAGAGAAGGAAATTTACTAAGAAAGGGCCATAAAGAATATTTTGTGTAGACTTAAGTGAGTTATCATTTACATTAACCCTTGATGTAACACTCCTTGAGGAAAGGATATTGTGAATGTCCACTCTCTTCTCTATGGAGTGTGAAGTAGGAAGCTATTTTTTGGACACAGAGATACCAAGTTTCAATCTTGAGACTAAATATTTAATCAAAAACACACTCATATTATGTTCCTTCAGGGGTCTAGATATTCTAAAACGACCACCTAAGGCAGGAGAGCGACCCTGGGACTGCTATAAAGCAACTTCAGTGGTAAATGTGCCACTCGACTACATTCTGGCCTACATTTATGCATTGGACTACAGAGGAGAATGGGACGACATGTTCCTTAAAGGTATTCAACATCAGTTTCTTGTAAGCTGTACTGTACATGGATAAAAAAAAATGACTGAAACATGAGACTTTTTTAAACCAATTATACATTTGACCCAAAATTCAATGAAACAACTTTAATTCCATCTTCCAATACTGCTCATTAAAGCTTTATGATACATCATCTAAAGAAATGGCCTTGCTTGGCATAAGCAAACAGTTGAGAAAGTTTGTACAATGCCTAAATTGAAGTGCAGAACAAAAACCAAAATTTTTATTGGTGATCAAAATTCCCAGCTGAGTTTTTTGATGCTCCATATTTTCATGTACCTCTTTTAATGGAGAAGCTCACTCATACCTGCAGGAGGCCAGGCTCTTAGCCTGTAGTGAAGGTGCAGCTTTGCCAAGAGAGCAGAGACTATTTCTTTGACAAATGTTCAGCTGCCATCTTTGAATTTTACTGCAGTGCGAGATTGGGGAGATGAAGATTTGATCACAACAAGCTTGTAATACTTACTTGTCCTCCCTGGCAAAATTCCTGCACTACAGACTAACATGCTCCAGTTTGGGTTCAAGGCAAAATGCTACCAGGTCTATTTTTTTTACCTCTTACTCCCTGAGTCTTGCAACCAAAATGATAACTTTAAGAGTTCTGCATTAACCTATTTAGCCAAAAACCAGAATTTCACTTTCCCTACATTGTCACATACCAACCACATTCATCTCACAAATGAGTCCTCACTAAATTACTCTAGTGTTGACTTCTGCACAAAATATGGAATGTCTCCAAAAAAACAACAACAAATAGATTTGGGAATCAATAGTAAACAAAGTGTGATAAAATCACATCAGTTCTAATGTCTCTCACGAAGAAAACTCATGCATTCCCAGCAATCGGCATCAGCTGGGTTAATTAATTTGAGGTAATACATTCAGATGCATTCATTAGTTTTCCTTCGGTTTGAATAAATGATAGTGCAGATCTAAAGCGAAGGATAAGCTTCTGTTAGGATCTTCTTCGAGCCTATTTATTTCCAGCTCTCTGATGATAAAATCCTCTCCGTAAATTTTGTTCCTAAGCTCTTCAGAAATGCAGGCTGGTGGTCTCATTCCTCGGTCAATTTCATAGTAATGGCTTTCTAACATGTAGTTTCCATCACTGGCGAGAAGTGAACGCATCTTTTTCGTATATCGTTTGCCATTATCGTCGAATGCAGGAGCAACCGCAGACAAGGATCCTCGGTCCCAAATAGCGTCAAATCTACCACCGACATCATCTTCCGCAATACTGAACAGATTACAGCAAAAGATCGTAATAGCCTTTTCGTTGCACGTGTACTTGTCAACTGGTTCGTTGTCTGTGGCCATTTTAACGATTTCCACGGTAAAACTCAGATTATTCTCGGAGAAGAAAGTTTCAATTGCTTTTCTAGCAACCTCTACCCCTACTACAGTGTGTCCTTGGTCGGCTAACCACAACATATCGACTGACTTGCCGCAAAGAGGCACGAACACCCGCACTTTAGGTCTTCCAGCGGTGAGCTCGTGAACATACTTGATTAGATATGCGTTTACTTCTTGCCGATGCCAGCCCGTATGCCCTTCCTTCCAACGATCGGCCCAATATTCAGCTGTAGTTGAGTCCGTTTGTTCAGACATTCTTCTAGAATTCTGCTGCTCCGACTTCTTTCAAGTGATGGTGATATATTCCCTCGATACACTCGAAACTGTTACGTAAGGAAACTGGAGGAAGTGTTGGTCATGGCTTGGTAACCACGCAATTTAGAATTCTCCGGCAAGCATTTTCGTTGTATGGTAGTTAGTAGGGACCTTAAGCAACCACGACGGCGACTACAACGAGGACGTAGAAAACCAAGAGATCTAATTGGTAGTACAATAGTTCAGCACGTGCATTTTGAAACTTTGAACATTTCTTAGCCGTCCTATGCAAAACAACAACSTGAAATCGCCAAAATTTGCGTCGTCTGCGAACCGAAACCGCGACGGCAAATATTTTAATTTCCATTTGGAACTCAACGCTACTTTTATACGTCATACTGAAGTTGAGCTGTGGCGCCGTATGAGACAATAAGCTCATGCAGCTATTTTTTAAATTCTAACTAAGAGTAGAAATTCATTTTTTAATCGAAGTCTTCCTTGGCGTTGCCGTCCTGACTGCTTAAGGTCCCTAGTGACTGTATTTGAAGATGTCTTAGAATTTGGCCTCACCCTTATACCACCGACTCGCCTGTGACCTCGAGACTTCTTGAAACGTAACACTCTCATATTGCAGAGCGATTGTTCGTTTCTTTTTCAACAATCTGAAAATTGTTGTTTTCTTTCTAACATTTCACAGGCGAAACTGTGGAAGAAATTGATCCTATTACGAAGGTAAGTCTCGGTAGAGATGGCCTTTTAATTATCCCTTATTTCGGGTCAGGAATAAAAAGAATTCTTTTGGACAGTTTGACAGTTTCTTCCAAACCGTCATTTGTCACGCAACGCTCAGTTCGTCACTAAACAAATTGTTTTTATTATTTTTACTTCTTTCCATAATAAGCGACGCATTTACTGGCAGAGAAATAATTGCTCTTATAACAATAGTGATAAATTATGAGTAACAGCACCAAGTAATGTTAACGTGGTAGGGATGCGTATGTTTTTGTCACTTACTTTGAGCGTCACGCAATGGTTGTGTCACTTACTTTAAGTGGAACACAATGGTTGTGTCACCTGCTTTGAGCATCACGCAATGGTATGATGTTTGACTAGTTCCTGAAAAACGATGAGGCAAAGAAGCACAAGACAATTCCTCATAAATCATGCCTCCATTCGTTACGCTACGGTGGGTTCTTGAAAATAGTGATAAATGTTTCTGTTTAAAAAATGTGTTGCGTTAACGCGAAATTTTGCCTCCATCCTCACAACTTTTCGCCGCTATTTCAGGTCAACCGACTGGAGTACAAACCACAGTGGCCAGCCAGCGGTCGGGACTTCTGTGTCATAGCTATTCTCAGAGAGATTGATGAAGGTGTAATTGCTTTGGCTTCTGAGGCGGTGTGTGCTTTAAGCGTCATTTTTTACCTTTTACTAACTTAAAGGAACCGTTTTTTGGCGAGACACGGCAGCTTAGTGTTAAACATGCTGAAAACCGGGTCAAAAGATCCGAGTTCATTGTGTTATGGTCTTAGACAAGACATCCAACTTTCACAGTGCCCCTCTGACTCCACCAAGGATATCAATAGGTATCAGAGCACTGAGCTAGAAACCTAGTAAATTATTCTGGGTAGCCTGCAATTGATGGGTGATCGTGTGAGACGCGGCCAGTGACTGGACCCTAGGTCGAAAGGTCTTGGTACGAAACCTGGCCGGGTCTCTGAGTTGTGTTGCGATGAATTGCTGGGGGTGGAAGTGGGGGGTTGAGGCGGGGGAGGGGGAGGGGTGACCTTGCAATTGACTACCATCTCTACCTCTCCTCTTTTGGAGTGAAAATGGCTTCATAAAATCTGCAAGTCTTGAAGACGGTAACTTGGAATAAAATTTTTTTGTGACTGTTACAAAAGCGGGGATATTTTCAGATAGCTTTAAGGTGAAAGGAGACATAACTACAGAGCCTGTTGATAGTAAAACTTACACGCGGGCTCTGACACTAGTAGAAATAAAAGAGCGAATACACAACTTTTTAGGCCGTAGAGGAAATATTTTTTACTGTTTTGTTCGCAGGTGGAGCACGAGAGGTGTCCCGAAATGAAAGGGCTTGTTAGGTATGAAGTTTGGCAAACTATAACTTCTAACTTTTAGCGTGAGGTTCTAGAGAAACGAAGTATCACTTGTCTTATTATTATTTTTTAATTTTTTGTTTTTGGTTGTTTTTGTTTCAGAGCGGAGGTTATTACTGTTGGCTTTGTGGTTAAAGAACTGAGTAGTGATCCTCCAAGTTACCTTGTAACGTATATGACTCGCGTTGATTTAAAAGGTAAGTAGAGGAGCTTACCCCTTTATGCAGGCTTCCCAGCCATCCACGCGTGGACAAATGCGGGAACAGGTGTCCTGTGCGCGCGAGTTCTGGATTCTGAGTACTAGGCTTCTACAGTGTCCAAAGGTTTCTGAGATCCCTGGGACTATGGTTATAACTCCAATGACGCCCGAGGGAACTAAAAATAATCCATTTACGATAGCTGAGAGATTTTCAAATAGTCGTGGAAACGATTATGCCACTATAGGCGGAACTGATCAAAAACTAAACATCTTGAGAACACAGAAAAAAGCTATTTTATTATAAATCGTCTCAAAATTGATACTTCCTCTTCATTTTTTTTTTTTTACAAAAGTCAAGTACTTATCGGGGTTTACTGTCTGCTTCTTTTATTATTATTATTATTTTTTCTTATCATCTGTGTTTTTTAGGAAATCTACCTGCCAGACTTGTGAACAGAGTGCTATCATCTCAGCCCCAGGCTCTCGCTGTTTTACGAGATAAACTCGAGGCTTGTTACCAAGCTGATGTGGGAGTTGACGGCCTGGATACATCACAACTTCGTAGAGAAGGCGCTGAATTATGTGCGGCGTTACTGAAAGCCAAATCGTGTCAGCAAACACAGAAGGATATTGAAGGAGAGGAGAAAGAGTCTTTACAGGGCTGGAGCTTACTGGAGACGCGAGATACCGACAGTTTGCAGTCTGAAATGACCGATAGGTTCAACCCAAATAATATATCGGTAAGTGGTCGAAAGATCCTGTTCACAGTGTAGTGTTCTTGGGTGAGATACAGTATTCTCACACTGCCTCTCTCCACCCCAGAGCATAAATGGGCATCGTTAACCCTTCAACTCCCATGATTGACCAAGACAGAATTTCTCCCTACAATATCGATACAATATCAAGCAGACAGGTGATGAGAATCAAGAAAAATTATCAATGAGGGGATGACCATGTGATCCAATATCAAATTCTTAGAACTTACAACATAAGAACTGTATTACAGACAGTAAAGAGAATTACTCATTAGATCTTAGGAGTGATAAGGGTTAAAGTGTTAGGGAAACCTGATGAAATTCCTGGAAGTGGTACTCTTCGATGGTATTCTGTTTAAGGGTAGGGGAGTGTTGCAATGCTCTTGGTCGCTTTATGCTTATGAAACCGGTACAAGCTCTGGATAGATAAATCGTCTCTCTGGCAAGCCTTCATTACGATTTTAGTAACAAGATACCTAGGTGTCCTTGGATAAGAATAAATGTTTGTCCTTTAGGGGTCTCTTACTTTCCGTTTTATATACCTAATTATTCATTTATTCACTGAATTCTCTATTTACTATTTTTGTCCTCGGATTTCTTGTTGCTGTACTGGTATCGTTTCGAAGGTAAAAAGAGTTGAAGGAACGTGTTAGCAGAAACTGGGGAAATCTGCAGAACTTTAAGCTAATTTTGGCTGTTTTCTAATGCTTTCCTTTTCGGAAAAATTACCACTTCCTTGACCGAGCACCTCTCTGTTTGGATCAATCCTAAGTCTAAATAATTTGGTAATATCAACTAAGTTGAAATTGTAAATTGGCCACCGTAAAGAGTTAAAAAGCTGACGTTTCGCGAGCGTTCCTGAGCCCTTCGTCATTCACTCTGACGAAGGGCTAACGCTCGAAACGTCAGCTTTTAACTCTTTACGGTGGCCAATTTACATTTTCAACTTAGTTGATATTACCAAATTACCTTGTTACCCCCACCGATGTAGCACCACAGTTTCTTTAGAAACTTACCCCCGTTATTCCTAAGTGTAGTTAGTTCATTGCCAAAGTTTTAAACCGAGTGATCATGTTGAGAACAGCTTCAAGCACAAACTGGGCTCGACCCGGACCACTGTGATCTTCCCAATCGTCTGGGTCGTTATTGATCGTTTGGCCTGGTTTCTATATATAACTGATTAGTTCGCTCGAGTATTAGTATGGACGCTAGATGCGATTGTATGTAAACGAGCTCGTCAACTTTATCGTTTCTTCATGTAACTCTACATCATTACACTTTAGCAGGACTCTGGGGAAATGTTTCCAATTACAGAAGAACAAATGAAGCTTCCACTCGGTAAGAGACAGACACAGGTCATATCTTCTGTGTGTTAAATTCATAGCGCTTATAAGTGACCCTACCAAAGAGATAACAGAAAAAATTGGAAAAATTAGAACACATTGTTTTCAAATTTACCCAGATGCAATTCATTTCAATTTTGTTCATCTTTGTTTATGCATGTCTTGTGTTTTATTGGAGTTGTTTGCTTGCAGTTTGAACCGAGATTGCGAGGATTAAAATGCTTTCGTGAATGCCGTACTCCTATAATATGATATAATATAATATAGGATTTCTATAGCGCTCATCCTAGAGTTGGGAGCGCTTTACAATGTGTACAATTAAAATGATTATAAATAATTAACTAAATTAACCAGGAAATAATACTAACAAATTAATTGATATTAATAGTCCTACAAATGGACTATTAATCTTCTCACTCTATACACGATTGTAAAAAAAAAATACCAGGAAAATAATTCTATTCGTTTTCACCACATTGTTTTGTTTTAACAGCGGACAGACATCAGTTAGATTATCGAACGCTCGGCAATCAAGCGGCTGCAAACCTTCTAGGAGAGGTAATAAGATTTAATCGCTACTCCAGCCTTTAGTATCTTCTACCTCAACCACACTTTTTCTACTCTCCATCTTACCCACTCAATAATCTTCCCATTAATGTGATGAAAGCCCGGGGCTTCTTCAAAACGCGTTTTTACTAATTTCTTTTCTCTCGTTGTCGAAAGTATTGGGAAAGAAAAAGGTTGTAGTGTTTTAATACTGTATAGGGATAAAGCGTTTTTACCAATTTCTTTTCTCTCGTTGTTGAAAGTATTGGGAAAGAAAAAGGTTGTAGTGTTTTAATACTGTATGTGGAGCTAACCGCCGCTCGTTTAGCTCAATTGGTTAGAGCGCCGGATTGTGTTGTGCGGGAGGTCGAGGGTTCGAGCCCCGGCCGGTCTTAAAAGGGTCTTAAAATTAGTGAGGAGAATTTGCTACCTTGATTTTCTATAATCAAGAATTGGACAGATATTCTAGTTTTCTCGGATAAGGACGAATAAACCGTAGGCCCCCACGCTGCCTTACTGTGTGGTGGATGTCCTCCCCTGGGTGGGAAGGGTGGGTGTTGGCCCTGAAAAGCCCTTATGGGGAGCGGTCAATTAACCTATGTATGTATAATAGTTTAAAGATCGGAGCCCGAGTAAGAGCATTTCGCAGAAAACTATGGTCAAAGGTTTAGCAGTTTAAGAATTTCGTGCTAAATCAGGTGATCCCTAGTAGACAACTTTCTTCGTAATCGTCAACTGTAAAGAGAGAATGAACTCTGTTTATTTTTGTTTATTTATTTCTTTTTTGACGCTTAGGTACAACTGGCTTCTCAAGTAGAGATATCAGTGTCAGAAGAGACGGGCGGGCAGGCCAATCAGGGGAGAGAAGGGGAGTGGAGGTACGTTGTTAACGTTACTCAGTAGCTTGTCCACTTTGGCTCTTTGTGTCACACAACATAAAGCTCAAACCTCGTGGCAAAGAGAGCGTCGGAACTGGTGCACCGATTGAAGCTGTTTTTAATGTGTCCGGTAAAAAAGTCGTAAATTTTTCGAGGGATCGCAAAAGGAATTGTTTCCAGTTACCTTGGAATCAGTTAAAGTGTCTATACGGCCAACAGGGTTTTTATTGTTTTGGTATCTCTTTAACCTGTAAAAAGTATTCTAAAAAAAAAAAACATTGGATTCTGACGCCTCTTCACCATAAAATCGAGGTTTAAAGTTCCCGCGTCGGCCACGCCCAATGAAGTTGACCGCGTAAGGGAAGATTGGTGATGAGTGACGTCACTCCAGAGCGTCTCGAGCGTCGTGTTGTTACTTTGCTTGACAAATGCAGTACTTTTACAACACATCTATAGGGCATATTTATGTCGCCGAAAACTCTTTACCTTACGGAAAAAACAGTGAAATGAACCACTGGCGGGATTTGGCGCGCTCCTGACTTGACTTCACGACCCATTCTGAACCCAATCTCTTTTTTTTCCCGACTCACGGTCACCTTCAATGGGCGTGGCCAAAGCGGGAAGTTTAAAGCTCCATTTCAGGGCGAAGACTCGTCAGAATCCAATTTTATATAAGAATGCTTTTGTACATGTTAAATACATACCAAAACTATAAAAACCGTGTTGGCCGCATAGACACTTTAATGATCTGATCTTCAGAAAATAGCAGCGAGCCAATACAGCGACTTGATAGCGGTCCATACTGAAATCTAAAATGAAACCGCGGAAACGATGTGAAGGCAAAAAATAGGTTAAGCAACACGAGGGGTTGAATTTTTACTAAATTCACACAACTCGAGATGAGATGAAATCAAATCCAATCTGCGGCTTTCAAGCAACATTTCGCTATTCATCTTTGTGGTGGTTCGATGAAGAAATCAGTTAATAAATGGTGGTTATTCTTTTATCCTCATCTTTTTGTTTTTTCCCCTCATTTACGACCTCTATTATGTCTCCTCGAGTTACCCTCTCTATCGTAACTGTCTCTCTGTCTCTCTGTTTTCTTTTAGTTATCGTAGTATTGAAAAAGACGTCGTGATATTGCAGAAGACGGGAGATAAAATTCACAGGTTAGTACATTTTGTCGGAGGGTTTTCTTCTTAGTGAAATAACCTCTTGAGCGAATTCGGAAACGCCTTCGTCTTCAGTGACAGTTTGTCGTCGAGATGAAAAGCGAGATGTTAGGGCCAATGCTGGAGACATCCGCCATAGAGATGACTTTGACATTCAAGTCGATAATCAGCGACTTTTATTTTACCCAGTCAAATAACATCTCCAGAACGCAAGCTAAGAGCTTTTAAGGAACGTTTGTACTTCTTTTAGTGTTTTGTTTCCTAGGTCTTGGCTATTATTTGACATCTGGATTATGGTTTATGACTTTCTATTTGTATTTACAGTTTTCTTGGCAAGGGAATGATTAAAGTGAAGCCGCCAACAGTGTGGGAAGCGGTGCGGAATCACATGACGCGTCACGTGTACGATAGAATGTTGAAGGTAACTATTAATACATTCTTGTCCGGTTTACCAGTTAGCATACTCGGGCCGTATGTCTGGGATATGCAGTTGTATATAGTTTAGCGTCTTATAGGTACTTCACCACCTTACGCATGCGTATTCAACCCCAGCGGTTTTCTACCTCTCGCCAACCTCGTACCTAAAGAATACAGTATACTCTTTTAGCGGTCTGCCAGGCGACTAACAGCTGGTCACAAAGCTTCAGGACTCCGGGCTCGGGGTCACCTTTGTACTGAAGCATTTGATGCAAAGCTGGAATTAAGCTTATTGGAAATACCTGCTCTCACGCCTTTATGTCATAATTGCATTTGTTTATTATCTTCCATGGTGCCTGGCTGTTTATTTGTTTGTCTATTCGAATGTTAGACATAACTATTCTGTTTTGTTTGCATATCGAAGAAAACTAAGTTGGTCAGACAAATCGACGATCAAACTAAGATCAGTAAGTTTATTGAGTTTATTTTTATCTTTCTGTCTTCTTGAATTAATTGATTATTGGCTGAATGTAGCGTAGACTTGTGGCATGGGAACTTGATTTTAGAAAACAACAGATTACCGATTTTTCGAAACTCTTGTCAATGTAACCCACAATTTTCGCTTTCTCCGGGAGGTTCGGAAAGAAAAAGGAGATTCCACTTTATTCCACTTTAAACAGCCCAACCCTTTCTCTCCAACGATTCCTCAGTGGTATTAGTCTATAAAACCAATGCGGTGTACTTGAAAATGCTTGTAAAGTTACCGTGAAAATCTTGTTTTGAAATTTTGCTTTCTAATGGCGAGCTAAGCGGATTCCTTTTTTATTTTGTTTTTCCAGTTTATTGCCATCATGAAACAAGTCAGTGCTTCGTCAAGCAGTCTCGCGATTCTGTGGCTTTAATAGGAGAACGAGTCGAGGTGAATCTTTACACTATATCTTGCCAGTGGGTTCCCTGTGGATTACTTTACTTTGCAGGAGACGTGGTGGCTTTCGGATCGAGACCCATTTTTTGAAAGTCCTTACTGATGATCCCTGGTCTCGAAAAGCTGATTTTTTTTTTTATTGTGTTTACATTTAAGTTCGATATATCGATAGGTTTGAGATTCAGTCAAATTTCGGTATCAAGAAATGAAACAAATAATTATTTTTTTTGTAGGGACACGTGCTTCCATACTTTCGATTGAGATTTCAAAATATGGCTTTGTGCCCTTAAAAAACAGGGGGTTCCCGATTCGAGCCCCGTTCATGGTACTGTAGTGTTTTCTCTGGCAAATACGGCTTTCTCTTCCCTCAAAGTATAAATAGGAACCAGAAAACTATTAGGAAACACGAAGAAATGCTGCCGGGATTAGGGGATGGGGGAGAGATAGGATGGACTGGCAAGCCATCAAAGGGGCGTTGGAGAGTACCTTGGAGAAGGAGGTGTACTGTGGGCTGGCAACGCATCAAAGGGGTGTTCTAGAGCTCCTAGTTCTTTACTATGGGTGCGGCAACTATGCGAATTGAATTCCCAGACTTTGCATTTTACAACAGCAATTAAAGTGTCAAGAAATTTCCCGCTTTTTTGTTCCGGCTTTTTCCAATCACCTTATTGATTAGAGAGATACTAAAACCTGTTTTTCCCATACAGCCTGAACGTTACGTAGTAGCTGGAACATCCGTGGACATCCCCGAATTACCACAGCACAAGGACATAACAAGACTGAAGGTAAGACTTGTTTCGTTCAAGATAAATGCTGTATTAACTGCCTTCACTGTTTGTTATTTCCCCACCTTTTGGGTCACGTGAGCTCCGTCTCTCTGATTTTTCTGTGCTTCAAAGTTAAAAGTGCTGTCGCTTAAACAAGCGTAACCAAACCATTTACAATTCAAACCGACTAAAATTAAATACACAAGATTCCATGTTACTCTGAGGACGAAACTCAGAGTAACAGGGAATCATGTGTGTTTCATTTTAGTCAGTTTGAATTGTATTTCGCTCTACACTCATCTGTATTGAGCACTTTCTAGCAGCATTTACGACAATTTCCCACAATTATCCTTTCTCATTTATAATCTTTTGACAGATTCACGTCGCTGGTTGGGTAATTGAGCCCATTCTACAAAATGGTCAGCTATATTCCATGGTGTCTTATCTTGCACAGGTATAGGGACATTCGATATAACGTGACTCTACTAGTACAGTGCATTTCAATTGAGTGAAAAATAAAGTAGAACAGTGGTAATCTATGCGGCTATTCTAAACCAACAAAAATATTCGAAGCAGCCAATAAAATAAACGGCAAACCATTTGAAGCGCTAGAAAACGTGAGTAGCCAATGAAAGCCGCGATTGGTTTCATTCTTGCCAGAGTGTGGCATCAATCATAGATCCGTGTTAGGTGAGCAAAACCAAAGCAATCCCGCTTTACTTCTGACACTCAATTGGAAACTGCTTTAACCGCCACGTCGATCTCGTTTCCCACTTTATTTCATTGTTTCTTTTGATCCTTTCACTCTTAGTAAATCTCCTTAACGTCTTTCATACAATTCTTACGATGTTAGTTTGGAGAATTTGGTATTGGATCAAATAGTAATCTCCTGATTGATTTTTTTTTATTATTCTCATCACTTGTCTGCTTGATATTGTAAGGAAAAAGACTTTCTTGGTCACTGATGGGAGTTGAAGGCTCGAACAATAGAGATGTACCATTTTCACGTTTGTTTTTCCAGATTGATTTTGGTGGTCCTTTTCCTGCCACTCTTTTAAATCGGGTCGGTCGTCGCCAACCACTGTGTATCGCTTATCTCAGAGACCACCTGGAAAAAATTGAACGCAAAGCATCTGCAGTATAACCACTTAAAATATGATGAGTGACCCACAGCTTGGGGCGAATTATGGACAGGGAACAAAATTACGGTCGGTACGCTGTTGGGGATGGTGCTTGGTGACTGTGCCATTAAATTTGGATCACGGAATGTTCTTCTTGGTAGGAAATGGTGATTTCCTCACTTTTATGAACAGTTAAATTTCACAGAAGAAAAACAAACAAACAAACAAACAAACAAATAAACGAACAAAGAAAGCAGTAATTTTCTTTTTTCGAGATTCCCAAAGCTTTAAAACGAGGACAAGTTAAACGCCTCTGCTTTGGGAATGTTTTACTATTGTATTGAAAATAATATTATTTTTCACAAAGAACATTTTGTACTTGCATTCTAGAATCAATTTCTCACGAAAATCATTTCACCCACAGTTGACATTCACACTTAAAGCATGAAACTTATTAATTTACTTTTATATCATTATGTTAGCTAAATACATGCACGACGGCCTCTGAGACACTTGATGATGCCCTTAAATGTATGTTATCCTTACCTGAAGTTCCCTGGCAGCATCGCTGACCAAATAGAAATTTGTTGTCGCGAAGGTTAACCGCGTGAGTGGGAATTGCATCATTCATGATCCAATCGAAGTCTTGCTTTCTGCTCCAGAGGTTGTTATTGTTTGTTCGTTTGTTTGTTCGAACTGGGGTTGATCTTTGATCAGGTGCAACCACAAATTTGAATTACAAAATTGAAGAATTTTTTTGTAAGTTGTATATTGTATGTATAATTGTTATATATCTCTTTCAATTTCTGCGTAAATTTTATCTCAATTGTTGTAAGCTTTAAATGTTTCGTTAAGTGTTTCGTTTCTTTCAATTTCGTACAAAAAACCGTGAAATATCTTTCTATTTTTGTTACCTTTGCTCTTTTTATTTCGCTCGTGTTTGTCAAAACCATGGCTGAGCGTTTCCAAGGTTACTGTTCAGAGCTGCAATTGTGAATCGAATATACTATTCGACTTTTATCTTTATCCTTTTCAAGAAGAAGCTTTCAGACTTGAAGAAAGACAGAAAATTGTAACTAATGATGAGTGTGAATGGATGGTTAAATTTTAAGTCACATTTATTTGTTTGAAAAGTAATAATGCAAAATAAATGCTTGAATGTTTGTTTTTGCTTCTTTGGCTGTTGTGAATTTGTTTGGTTTTTGCAAGAATCCAAACCGGGCGAAAAAGGCGCATATTGATTAAAATAATTGTATGCAAGCACGATTCCCAAATGAGAGATCTAATTCAAACTAAGACCCAAAATATTTTCCTATGTTTTGACATTAAAAGATTAAAAAAAATCCTTTAATCGCAATATGAAAGCAGCAATGAAATTACAAGTGTTTAACTTTCTATGACATTAGCATTAGCTCTCCCATCTTCTGAAATGTTGGGTTTCCTACATTTTATTTCGAAATCTTAACCAGCGACCGGTCTGTTTGCAATCTTCCCGGCATCTTCTTTATGAAGCCAGAACTTTTTATAGAAGGCGCAGAAAAGGTAAATACGCACGAACAATTCCCAAATGAGAGATCTAGTTCAAATAGAAAGACAAATACTTTATTATGTGTTAATCTTTTAATAGCTATATCAAAAAGGTAAATTAAAGTTCGGCTAGAGAAATCGATTCTAGCTATTGTCATTAAAACTTCTACGTTAAATTGGATGGCGCCACGCAACGTTTGTCAAAAAATTCTTGCGTCACCATATATTTCTAACATAGTTAACAAGGTGATGGTGTAGTCCTGAGAAGGACTGTTGTCGGTGGTAGTGACTGACGTTACGACAACCTGTGCGGAAGTCATCATCAGAGTCAAGTGAATGATTGTTGTCAGTAGAAGCCATTTACTGCATAGTTAACACTATTAGTTTCGCTACAAATATACCGGTCTGTTTTTGAAGAAAAATCATCATGTTTTGGCTAATGAAGTAAACGTTGCTAATTTTTTGGTTAAGTTTGCAAATGACGCTGAATTAAAGAGCAAAGCAACGTTCCGAGTAATCTAAATTAAAATGCTGTTGTTTTCCTTTGCGACACAAAATCCGTAAAGCAGGGAAACATAAATCGTTGAGTTCATCTCAAATTACTGTTGGAAGAAAATTTGTCGTTTCTAACCCAGTTACAAGCAAAGTCTAACATCTGTACACGCGTTCAACCATTGACACTTACTTGAACGTATTGACATGATAAACTACATTAACGCTGTAATACTATATTAAGTCTTGCGACATGTTTAATGATCCCCTAGCAAGTACGGTACTAAAACAGTTGCCACCTTTAGGTTTATACTTGACTCTACGTGCAAAGAGTGTGCTGATTAGTGAAAGAGCCCTGATGGATGCAAATGGCGGTCTGAACTTTGCGTTTGCCAACAATAATCCAAAGTGACAGCGAGTGGTAGCCGTAACACTGCATTTTTAAACAATATCACATCCCTGTATCACAAGTCACCTTCATTAAAGCCAGCTTGTCTTTTGAAATTAGAGTTGAGCCGGACAAACTTTTTTTACGATTATGTCTACACCCTGCACAAACTTAGTAAAAATGCAATTCGGCGTAAAAATTTAGCCTTGTAAATCTGACCACCCCATTATCTGTCACAGTTATGGCCCAAATTGAGACTTGTTAACTGAATTCCGCAGTATTTTCTCGACCTTCAAGTTCAGTACTCTTTTCTTTATCATCCATTGTGACTTTTACATGACCTACAGTGGCTCGACGCAGATATCGACACGACCCGAGTGATTTGAATTGTTCCTCTAGTGATGGACTTTGAGTTGATTGCATCCCCGACGTCGCATTTAGAAGGCTATCGCGACGAGCTTGTTCTCTCAACTTGAGATTTCTTGGCAACAAAGATGGTGATAGCTCACCATTATTTTCTTCCAGTCCTGATGAGCGAGGCGACAATTGTATCAACTCTGACGGACGACCTCGATGCAGAAGAGAACTGCTCGACTGCCGAGTTAAAACGGGTGAACCTTGTGATGAAGAGAAGATCTCGTTATATGAGCGCCGACGAGGAATCGGCAAAGGATTCGAACCGCAGTGTGGCGACAAAGTAGCCTTTTCCCAAAGGAAAGTTGCCTTTCGATGGCTCAAAGTTGGAGAACATGGTGCTGATTTTGTCTCACTTTTAATGACTGGCAACTTAAGTTTGCCAGAAACATCTACCGAATTTTCTGTCTTGCTGGGGCTGCAAGATCCTGCATCGTTGTTCAAGTTCGTGCCTGGTTTGGCAATTTGAATCATCAGCGTGAGTTTTTTCCGTAACTTTTTAGCCTCTAAGTCCATTTTTCTTTCAAACCGATTGTGTTCACTCTGTATAGAAGCGTTTATCTTTTGATTTGTTTGTCTCAGTAGCGAGTTTCTTTGAACACAATTCCTCTCTTTCATCGAAAGTTCAGAGTTGTTGGATTGTTCCTCCATTATTGTCGGGTCTTTTGGACTGCCCCAACTCATCCTCCAAACCTTCCCTGTTAAAAACAAATATTGCTCGTCAGAGAGATATTAAAAAAAAACTTCACTTAAGTTTTAGCCTTTCATAATTGGAAATCAATCATTGCGCTATTATTGAACGAGGCGGTCTATTTTTTGTGTTTTGAATTTCTTTTGTTCCCAAGAATTAATTATCTTTCTTTTTCTAAGCTGCTTTATAATTCTATTCTTTTCTATCGCCAGTATTGTATTCCGGAACATATAAACACGATTCGTCGCCGGGGATCGGGAAATTCAATTTGAGTTCAAATCAAACTGGCTGTGCTAAGCCAGTTAAGTTGATTTAGGGTCAAAGTTCTTTTTGGTTTATTGAGATAATTTACAGATCTTTCACTATATTTTATTAATTTTTTACTACACTTTTTTTTCATTAGAAATACGCTTTTGCATCCAATGGGTCTAACTAAAAGCAACAACCGGGCGAATGTAGAAATGATTAACAAGTGATCTCTACTGAAGGGCTAACGATCTAATTTTTGAAGCAAACAAGACTTTTGGAGGTTTATCAAAGAGACAGTTACATAGCTTTTGCAATATCTATCACCGAGGTAGGGAAAGGGGCTTTTGCTCTTCTTTATCAACGAGGTTCATTCGTCGGCTTTAATTTCGACGGCAATGGAAAAGATACTGAACAATTAAGGAAGGACCCCCACAAGCGCTTTTCTGCATGCCGCGAAGATAAAAGACACCTGTCCGTTCCGATTTGCTAAATTAACGAAATAAACGATTGAAATGCCGTGCCGCACGAGAATTCTTTGGGAGTGTTAGGACGTGATATATCATCAATAAGTATATACTAAAACGGTGGATAGCGTTGAAGGCGCGCTCTGATTGGCTAGTCAAACTCCGAATATCCTTTGCTATTTACCTCCGAGCAACTCGGGAAAAAATGACGTCCCGGTTTGCATCCGTGACAAGCGAAGAAATCACTCAAATTATTAACGACGGTGGTGTATATTATCTCACTGTTTTAGTATATACTAAAACAACCTCAGTGTCGGTGGTTAGCGGTGGATATTTACCAACCACTTCCACTTCGGTGAATAGTTGTTAACTGTAACTGGTATAGGTTGAAATCCTCCAATAGGACACTTTACCAACCGCTTTTGATTGGGACGCGTGAGCTCTTGGGAATAGTCCTTACCAGGCTTCTCTGCGTTCAGCAGTTGAGGGAAGATAGCACGACAGCCAGTGCTCACGATTTGCGAGAGCTGCTCTTTTTTTTTTTTTAAGAAACATACGTCAGCGTGCTTCATCGAGATATGAAGCACACGGGAAATTTGGAGAGCACGAAAAGTGCGAAAGAGTTGCTCGAGGCGCAGCCGAAAGCAACTCTAGCTTCTTGGCAGCTCCAGTCCAAAATTTCCAACAGCTTCTTTATTTAACGCTTATCAATCCCGTATATCAATGAAGCACGAGTATCTTGCCATTTTACGAGTGTTGATGAAAACCGTGCTTGACTTTGAAAACCCTGGGAATAGAAATCAGTGGCTGCCTTTCATTATGTTTGGTGCCGGTTGACAGGAAAAGCTGATAAAGCAAATATTTGTCGCTCCTGTTAGAACAGAAAGAGTTCAACCAATCTAAAACGGTTGATCCCCAAGACAAAACGACTTTACTACGCTGAATGACAATTTTGTGTAGTCCGAGACGCGAGAAATCTCAGCTGAGAGCTCATTTCTGCGACTTTTTGTCCAAGCAGATTACATGTGTTCAGTAACAACATAAAATAACAACGTAGCACAACCAAAACTTTACTAAGCCAAGAAACGTTTATTGAACCTTCCCGTGAAAATCGAGCAAATGTCGCGCTTATTCCCCCTGCCTTCTCCCCTGGCGTTTAAAATTCTTTGTAGACTACAGGTGTAGTAGTAGTTTTAAGGTGTTTTAGTTTCTATGGGAACTCACTTTAGGAGTTCAGAGGATTAAAAAAACCTGTCGAAATTTTAAACCATATTAGTTACTTCCATATCTAAGTACCTTTCAAAGCTATGTATCGTTTCTTCGGGTAAAGGGATACAAAATTCGACACTGTTGGCATTACAGCTCATTATTATTGAAGATTAATGACCAGATAACTGCCGTTCTGCCGGGTCAGGCTTGAAAAAAAAAAGATATGGAGGTATAAATTCCACCCCCTACTGAGAAGGAGAAATTTAATTAGCCGAACAACACATCTTTTAATTACTTTTACATCGGAATAACCGTCCAGTGAATAGGATTATATATAATTACCTGAAAGGACGATTTATGACCCCCATGAGTGAAATATGAAATCCCACATTGATAACAGAAATGATTGCGTTTATTCGAGTTTATTGAAAAGAAAGTATTTAATTCACAATTATAATCATGATTACTAGTCTCCCTTCCTAATTTTTCTTTTTTTTGCGATTTAATTCTATTGTGTATTTTCAACTTCCGATCATCGACTGTCCTTGCAGATTTGGTGCTTTGTCGACACATCCGTTTGACAGGTTGCGTTTCAAAAAAGGCAGTGGACAAGGTGCAAATGATGTTCGAAACTATCTTAACGACTAAATTTGCATAGACATTTTACTAGTCTATTAGTCATGCTATCTTGTGTTACCTCTCTCGACTTGTTACTTACTTACTTACTTCTCGAGCTCCTGGCCTCTTTGCGTTCTTTGGTCAGTGAGCCGAAGCAAACTGCAGTAGTAATTAAACTCATTTACATTTTAGGCCTAAAGCCATTTGAGGCTATTTTAGTCGGATTTGGGAATTAATTTTCAATAGTTTTGAGGAACATAATGACAGATTGTTGCTTTCCATTAGCTGACTGAAGATTCCTTTAAAGACACCCTCATTACTTTTCAAACATATGAGTCTTTGAATCAATATTTATTTTAAAAGCATTTAGATTTAATTTGCGCATTTACCTGGTAATAAAGTTCGTTCATTTTAATGATAGGATACTTGAACGAATCCTGACGCTATGGTTATGATCTATTCTTAATCAATAATATATTTCAACTTGTACTGGCTTGTCGATTTTCCATTTTAACTTAGCTTTTACATTAATTTTTTGCAGTCGATTTTGCAGTTTTCTGCTCATGTTTAACAATTAACTGTTTTGTGGATTTCAAAAGCGTCAGGTAAATAAAGAAATTTTTAAGCCAGAATATATTTCAGTGTTGCAAAAAGGCCGCAGTATAATTGTTTTTAGGGTAGTGATGTGGACCGACAAGGAAGCTTTTAATTTTTAATTTAGGTAACTTTCCGACACCTTTTTCATGCACACCTTGGACACTGGAAAACTGTAAAAGAGCCTATCAGGGCCGGCTCTGCTCTCAAAAAAAAAGTTTACGCTTCCTGCTTCAATATTTTTTCCATGTATCGATCTTCTATCTTTTACCTCAAGCGAAAACAGTGTCTCTTAGTTTCCTGGTTTCTGCTTTAATTGGCCATATGTAAATTCACTACAAAACGCAGTAAGTTACCAGCAAATAACTTTTTAAAGGAGCTGATTCTTGTAAGTATACGCTTCGACCAACTCCACAATTTTAATATTATAATAAATATAATAACATAAATTTCTGCACATTACCATTTTGGGCCTAGAGCCATTTAAGGCCATTTCAGTCGGATTTGGGAATTAATTTCAATAGTTTTGAGTAACGCAATGATAGATTGTTGCTTTTCATTAGCTGACTGAAGAATCCTTTTAAGATACCTTCATTGCTTTTCAGAAAATTTGAATGTTTGAATCAATATTTGTTTCGAAAGCATTTACTAAAATCATAAACACCTGCTTAAACACCTGGTAATAAGGGTCGTTCATTTTAATGATAGAATATAAATGAATAGAATATAAATTAATCCTGAGCTGTTCTCTTTGGGGTCGACAGATCTCGTACTAAGTGTATACAAGAAGATCATGATGCTCGCATCTAACTCATCCACCCAGGACATAGAAAACAGCGCAGCATGTAAATTAATGGGTAACTTCGTTTGGAAAGAACAGTATCTGACATCCACAACTTTTGCAAATCTGGTGGCGGTAATAATTTTCAATTCCTTGTGAGCCTTCCTCACAATGTTTTTGAACGCAGTAATTATCGTAGCCGTGACGATAAAGCGCCAAATCAGAACAAACTCTAATGTGTTGTTAGCATTTTTGGCAGCAACAGATTTGCCAGTGGGGATTATCCCTCAGCCTCTACACATCGTTGCAGAAACTAGACATATTCTCAACGCTGGGCGGCCATTTTGCGCCGTAGATTTATTAGTAGACATTATGCGCCTTGGACTCACTGTGACATCATTTAGCCACCTAGCCTTGTGTTGCTCACCATCGACCGATACGTGGCTTTCGTGCATCCTTTGAGGTATTGCGACATTGTTACGACCAGTAAAATCAAAATTACGTATGATGCACGATCCTCGCAGTAGAGAGCGCTATTTATGCAATAGCGAAAATCAGACCTGAAAAAAATCAGGTCTGTACGGGCATCGTGCATCATACGTATCTATAACCGCAGTTCAAAACATATGAACTTCATATATTCATCGTATCCAAAATCAAACTTGGCGCACTATTAGCTTGGGCCATGTCTGTCGTTGTGGTAATTAGTCGGACTGTGGCAGCTTTCCCAGGGTATAACATGAACATAGATCCATTTTTGTCAAGATTGATCATTTTTCCATTGACGCTCATTCTCTCTGTTTCTATCCTTTTGTCGTCTCTGCGAATTGTGTTATTTTGTCTCAGACCCGGTGTCAGCGACGACGACTCCAACTTGGACAGCTGCCACAGGAAGAAGTTAAAAGGACAAAGAAAAACACGGAGTCGTCAAAAACTCTAATAATCATTGTCACTGTACTACTCCTTTGCTATGTACCTTCCATGATAGGCTCAGCTCTGTTAAGAGTTTCTACGGAAGATGTCACGTGACCACACATGTTTCATGCTCTGAGGACCTGGATCATCACTGTTTCCTTCCTAAATTCGCTTTTCAATCCTGTTAGTTACTGTTGGCGTATAACAGAACTGCAACGAGCTTTTTTTTGGAGATATTACAACTACGCTAGCGGCAGAACAGGAGCTCGGATAAAATGCTAGAAATACCTCAGTCTTCTGTTGTTTGTAAATCTTTACTTTAGGATATCCATCTCTTAAAATTTAAAGCAAAACATGGAAATCAAACGCTGTCATCTTAATTCGTCAATTCATTAGTGTAATTAACCTTCTCAGGGGCGTGGTCAAACTGTGCAAAACAGAGGGTACTCGCCAGGCCCCGGTTGTTCGAAGGACGGATAACGCTATACACTAGATAAGTCTCTATCCGGTGGATAGCGCACTACGTTCTGGTAACACTTATCCGCTGGATAGCGATTTATCCGTTGGATAGCGTTATCCCCCCTTTGAACAACCGGAGCCAGATTGTTATGTCGTCCTCCACGCCGTGTTTTACTTCTAAGAAAGTGCGAAAAAAAAAAAAAGAAAGGTTACAAAAGGGAGAGGGGTCACGGACACCCCAGGACCCCCTGCCTAACTAAGTCCCCGCTTTTTTAAGTCATACCAAGAGATTATAACCTGTTTATATTCTCTTGTCACTAGCTTACATAAATAGGTTAAAAGGATCTCTACCGAAGTCTTGCTTATATCCTCGCAGATGTTTTATTTAATTTGTCTTAAGATGTTTGACTTTTCTAGGCCACGAAAAGATGAAAAAAAAAAAAAAACATTGAATACAACGAGGTAAGTGTTCACTGAAATCGAATAGTACTAGCGTATATTTTGGCGTTGAGAAGGGTTTATGACGGCAGATAAGTATGTCAATACTGAATTCCATCTTTTATCAACACTGAATAGCAAACAAACATCTGTAACAAATGCCAAATTATGAAACGTAAAACGTAGGAATGTAACTAGTAAAGACTAATTAAAAACGACAATAGCGATTCTGTAGCCACTGAGGAAGTAAGACATTTTTTGTCGAAAACTAAAACTTACTGGAAACTTTGTTACACTATGTTGAGGGGAAGTTAGCAAGTATAAGCCTTACTCGAAAACTTTTACGGAAAAGCCTGAGAATCGAGACTCAAAAGGTTTATTAATTAGATTTCTTCATCAAAGTCAGTTTCTTCTGCTCTACGAATAGGAGTTCTAATATAACGACAAGTTTTGATTGCTCTGAATGCATCCTCTAGATTTTGATGCAGAGCTTTTCGCCTGTGTTCTTTCAGTAACAAATAATTAAATGGATTTTCGGAGGAGACTGATTCGTCAATAATCAACTCTGAGCTGACTATTTTTTCAGCCTGTCTGTGATCTTCACTTTGATTTCCAACTTCTTCTTTCCCTGTTGGATCGGACATATCTTTATCCCATCGCTGATCTTGTTTAATTGACACGTTGAACGTCTCTATTTGAGGATTTGGCATAACCCGTAATTCTCTTTCAATTCCTGAATCCACATCTTTAATTTCTAACGTGTTACTATCCTTATTCGTTAGATTATTCGCTTTCAAGTTTTTCCTCAAAGGAGCCGTTTTTCTGTGTTTGATTTTATTGTCTCCCGAGTTTGTTTCAATCGAAGGTAGTCGAACAATCTTTCTCTTTTCTCTGAATCTGCCATCACCTTCAGAACTCTCTAACAGTTGACTAAACTCGTCTTGAATTGGGAATATGGCTGAAGACGATTTACCAGGATGTGGATCAAAGTCTTGTGGATCTTCGCTGATCAACTCGTCTCCGTAATTATGTGAATTGGCCGTTTTAGAAAGAGAGATCGAAGGGAGAAATATTTTCCCGTCGCTGTTGTCAACATTGCTGTTATGTTCTTGCCTTCTATTTCTTTCGATATCCTGGCGGCGTTTGTCAATTCGATGCTTTTTCCTTTTCATTCGCCTCTCTTCCTTATTTAAAACTCTGCTTCGCTCGTGTTTTTCGGACTCAAGTCTCGTTGACAGCGCTTGGTACCTAGCGTTTTCAGCCATGTTACTCGGAGCAACTTTCTTCTTGTCACGAATTCCTGTTGCAATATGAATTCCCAGTTTTCCTATATCCGGCAGATGAATACCTGCCATCAGTCTGGAATCCTGAACTCGAGCCAGTCTGAAATGTGCGTAGTTCTAAAAAGGGCCGCGTTACTGTAGATTTCACATTGTTCCGTTTTCACTCATCATGCAGAATAACTGTCTGTCCTCTGGCTAAATCGTAGACTGCTTCACTGATTTGTCAAAAATGCAAATGAAATTCAACTTACGGTTGAATTGAGAGATGGTAACTTGTGTACCTAGCGCACATTTGCCAACCTATTTTTTTATCTGCTCGGACATCTAACGAATTGTCTGTATCAAAGAATTTTATGATTATTAATGACCTTCATGATTTAGGTCTTCAGGTTACTAAATATGAAAGCAGATCAACGATTATCCTATTGAAATGCGAAAAAGTGGATCATGACTAGTTAAACAGAAATGAATGAAAACAATCTAATAGATGTGATCAAACAGAAGCTAATTAAAGGTAGCTGACTGACAGCACTGTATATTTATGAGCGCATTACATTGTTATTGTAACCTCCGTGTTTCGCAAAAAAGGACTTAAAGCAGTCAGGACGGCAACGCCAAGGAAGACGTCGATTAAAAAATGAGTTTCTACTTTTAGTTAGAATTTCGAAAATGGCTGCATGTGTTTACCGTCACATAGGGCGCCAGACCTCAAACTCAACATAACGCATAAAAGTAGCGCTGAGTTCCAAATGTAAATTAAAATAATTTTTCGCCGCGGTTTCGCTTCGCAGACCACGCAAATTTTGGTGATTTCACGTTGTTGTTTTGCAAAGGACGGCTAAGAAATGTACAAAGTTTTAAAACGCACGTGCTGGGCTATTGTTCTGCCAATTAGATCTATTGTTTTTTCCACGTTCTCGTCGCCGTAGCCGTCGTCGTTTACTTAAAGTCTTTGGTACTAACCCACGGGATGGGAGTAAGACGGGACTCCCCCCTCCCTCTCCCCACTCCTCCCCTCCGTCGACGTTCGTCGATAATTCCTGGCATATTTTGACATTCAATCTGCAAAATGGCGGCTGACTCTGCAGTGTGTTTTGCAGGGTATTTTGTTTGATTTTGACAACACACTCGTGCCTACAATGGAGGCTGACCTATACGCATTTCAAAAAGTAAAGGAAAAGCTGCTTGAATAATTCGACGCTAAAGATGCAGAGAACATCGCTTCGAAGCATTAGACACCTGTTACAAAGACATACTCGTGGTCTCTGGATTCTTTCAAATTTGATCAACACGCGTGGCGGGTGAATTTATGGGGAAGTGTGTTAAATTGTGATTCTGATGTTACTGAAAAACCGTCAGCAGCTGATATGTATGCGATATGGAGATCGGCATGGCTTGAAAAAATGGTGATTGAGGATGAAATTTCATCGCTCGTTCAAGAACTCGCAAAAGACTACAAAATCGCAATTGTTACTCAGTTATTCAACGAGAAAAGATCACAACATCAGGGGCTGACGGATTGTTCAAAACTATCGTGATAAGTGGCGATCAACCGCATCCGAAACTACATCCAGTAACTTTTGACACTGCCTGCTCGCTGATATCTGTTGATCCCAGAACTGTGTCATGATTGGAGATAGTCTTGCTCATGATGTACAAGGGAGTAAAAATGCTGGTTTAATGGCCTCTGTATGGATAAAACTTAGAGGCTGTAACCGCAGTGGAGAGGATCCAGAGCCAGATTTTACTGTAGATTCTGTTCTTGATTTACCAAAGATATTGAATGAGTTAAATTCTCCCACTGCAAACTAAAACTGGTAGTGAATACACTAAATTTGTATACATCTCCATGTTATAAAAGAATTGTGCTGTTGTAGATATCATTTACCAATTTTTTACACTTTTAATTTTTTTTTGTTTTAAAAATATAAGGTAAGAATGAAGGGACAGTTGATATTCTGCACATAAGCTCTGTGTTATTAAATTCTTTTGAGTACATTTGTCATTTCCAATGTTTTGATTATTTGACTTTAAGTCAATTAAGTGTGTTGAGAATTTAATTTTTCATTTTCACCCACCCTGCAACCCACCTATTCCACACACTCACACACGCACTCACGCACGCACTCACGCACGCACGCATGCACGCATGCACACACACAATCAAAAGCCCTATAAAATTACCATCACTTTAATATGAACCATTTCTGAGATTTCAGTATATTAATTCTCAGTTTATAAACAAGCCATGCCAGGTTGTTAGTCACTGAATACTAACTAATAAACTGCCCAGAGGAAATCAGCACTCGACAGTGGCATAACCAGGATTTTCAGCGGGGGGGGGAGGGGGTTTACACTGTGTAAAACAGAAGGCATTAATTTTACTGGATTGCCATGTTACCCTTCATGCCATGTTTTCCTTAGAAAAAAGGGCCCACAAAGGGGGAGTCACAGACACCCCAGTACCCCCTAGCTATGCTCTCGCCCACTCACCCCACATTCTCACTTTTTCGTGCAAACCGACTGCCTTGTAAAGGTTTAACAAGGATAAGTACTTCGAACCTCTGTGATGAACACCCAGTGCCTGTTGCATAAAATGAGAAACTAGGGGTAGATTAATAACGCGGCTCAATTCTTTTTTTCATTATTATTGCATCGAAAAAATGCTCGCCAAAATTCCACCTGCTCTGCAGGCTATCGAAAGCCATTAAATATTTGGTCGTCAAAACGACCGCATGAGTCATCAAGACAACGGACCGCGATGAGACTGTTAACTAAAAAGTTTCCCTGCTCATGCGCGGTGCCATGGTTGGCCCTCGGCCATCTTGCTTTCTTCCACGTTTTATCTGTCTTTATCGTATTTTGATAAAAAACGTGTTCATAAATGTGTTGAGACGCTTAAAATTCTTACAGAATGCCTTTCCAATGAGTGGTGCGGTTTTATAAACCTTAACATGTCCAGGTAAGATGTCTGTTGTGTTGTAAAAGAGACCGGTGTCGTGTGTTCATTTTGTTGCAATTTTACTTATTTCGCGATGTAAACCGATGTCCTCGTTTGATTTAAGCTCTGCCTCCGGACAGACACCAAAATCCTATGGGATTACTTCCCCAATATCCTTGGCAGGACCCAAGCCCGGAGTAAGTAAAAAATTCAGACCACAAGCACACGTGGAAAGTTGATCCTAAAATTTACCCAAGCATGATCGCGTCTTCGAGGCCAGTGAGATTAGCATCATGTGTGATTGGTTAATTATGAACACAGCTGTGTGAGTTAGGATGATGGTTTCTGCTCATTGTAATGCTAGTCAGACCAATACTATGTTATGAATAAACTTCGTTACAAAAAAATTATCGTGTTAGTGTGCATGGAGTAATCTCTTATCGTCATTTTACCAGTAATGATTTATTTTAAGTCCGTACGTGACCATACTGTTTTCACCAAAAAAATACTATAATATTAAAAAAAGGGTTCATGTTTCGGAAACATGATTAACATTTGTAGTTTGTTTGTTTTGTTTTTTTAATTAAAGCTTTTGGCAAATTTAACAGTGCAGATGGGAAACCGATCTTGCTGCTTTATTATGCAATATTATTGTCAGGCTATGTGGTGCAATAGATTCCTGAAGTAGTTAGTGTAAATCTGAATGTGCATTTCTTACTTGCATGTTTTGAATGTGCCTATAAAAAAAACTGCAGATGAAAGATTTCAAATGGGTCTCTTGGCTTATTTATGAATGAAATTTTTACAAAATTTGTACAAGGGTTGTTGAACCAATCACTGAGTACATACATTATTTTGTCCTTTCCAACCAATAGCTTTCCTGTATTAGGAGTTGAGTATTGTTGGGCAATTCTTATTTTCTTAGGACGTAACACTTACAAAGGCCCTTGAGGAAAGTCTCAAACCTTATGGAGTCTTCGAATCTGAGGAAGAACTTCAACACAGGTTATTAATGTATAGTGTTTTTAAGACTTGTTTGGTTGCTATGGCAAGTAGAAAAATAATGGGGGTAACCTTTACATAATGTAGCCAATTTTTTCAGACTATATGGTTTTGGTCAGGAAGCTTTGTTAGCTTTGTTGGTATATTTTAATAATAATACTATAATCTTTAATGAGGATGCCAACGTCACAAAAGTGGTTTACAGGAGGGTCCTCTTAAGTTAAATACTAATACTAAGATAAAATACAAATAGCAACAAATAACTAAAGCTAATCTAAGAACTAATAAAAAATACTAATCACAAGTATTAACTAAAAATAATACTAGCAAAAGTCAATTAGAATTCAAAATAAAATTTGGACAGGCCACATTTGAAGGCAGGCAGTGAGTTTGCATTTCTTAGTGAGATGTCTAAAATTTGTTTGGTGTATATGGACATAAGTTTTTTCAGTTGTCCCTGGCCATCTGGGTGACATTAAAAAGAGCTTAGCTTTAAGCCATAAATGTGCAAGAGGTCAACTTTCTCTCTTTAATGCTACCATTATAAGGAGTGATTTTGATAATCTGAGAGAAATTTGTTACTTTAATTTTTCAAAGTTTTCACATTGCCTATTTCTGATCAAACCTAGTCCAAATTTTCCAAACTGAAACTTCACAACAAAGTTATGTGTGTTGATTGCCACCTAGAATTATAGTCTCACATGTAATTTTTTAATTGCATCGTTGGTGCAACTTCTCCATTTTCCCTTTACTGTTAAATTTCCACCACCCTCTCTGATTCTAATTGAAAATCCATCCACTATTTTTTGTGGTTTGTAGGATAGTTGTCCTTGGAAAACTTAATACTCTGGTCAAACAGTGGATCATTGATACTAGTCTAGCCAAGGTTAGTGAGAATTAGATGGTGTGCATGAATGTTTGACTGCAGAGTTTTAGATAAAGTCTAAATTGTTTGTTTCTAATTGTATGTTATAAAGGGTAAATAGAATCCAAGGCCAAAAATGATCGCGATGACTGAAATTCCTGTAAATTTAAAGGCAGCAGTTAGAAATGGTTATGCTAGAAAAATTTATAATAATAAATGTATCAAAATTGTTCTTTCTAACAGAACATGCCAGAATCTGTTGCTAATTCTGTGGGTGGAAAGATCTTCACCTTTGGTTCATACAGACTTGGTGTTCACACTAAAGGTAAGTAGTTATTTTTGCACATTCTCCATATCTACCTGGGAAAACTCTACTTCTAAGTAAGTCACCACCTTTTGGGGAGGTAACTAGGGTCCTGATTTGAGAAAGGAAGGTCTCCTCTCTCAAGATGAGACTCTTGTCTGGCAAGAAGGCAAAAACTGAATGCTTTTATCTTACCAAGTTATTTGGTGATGAATAAAATAATATACCGAGGACATTTTTTTGTTAGTTCTCTGACTGATCTGAACTGATCTGCTTGGCAGTGTATTGATATTGTAATGTAAAGAGGAATTGTTGTGCCATCATTCCTGGGAATAATAAAAATTGGATAGATGGAGACTTGATTATACTTGTTTGTTGGAGAAAACAAACTGCAGATATAAAGAATAAACCACAAAAGATGTAGTGTATAAGAATGGTGAAATTTGGGAAAGATTAATACAGATGATGAGCAAAGAATTTAGGTTACAGTTTTCATTAACTATTATATACTTGTAACTCCTTCAAGACCATTTTTAATTATTGACCATGATGAAATTGACCACAAGTAATATTATGATAAGGTGACATGCTGTGATTCAAATATCTAGGAGCTGATATTGATACCCTCCTTGTTGCTCCTCGTCATATTGAGCGATCTGACTTCTTTGGGACATTTTATGAGATTCTCAAAAACAATGAGGATGTGAAAGAACTAAGGGTAAGATTTTGTTGCTGTACCATACTGTAAGTCTACAAGATACAATTTTTTTCAACTGTTTACATGTAGTTTGGATGTTATATCAAAATTGAGCTGTTGCAAGTTCACTTCAAATTGTCTTCAAATTGGCAAAATGTTTCATTTACCTGTTGAGTTTTGAGAGTGCAAGAACACTGGCACTGTATAGTACAGTCTAAATGCTTTTGTCAACACTCACAACACACGAATTTTATGAACATCAAACAAGCAACCAACTTATCAAAGTCTCAAGATTAAATTCAACTGATTTTAAAAAATTGTTCGTTTTAGGTCAACTGCTTTAAAGTATGAACCTTATTTTTCCAATTTAACGTTTTCAATTTGGTCTTTATTCCTCTCTAGACTGTTTTCTAGATTTTCTTTTGGTGTAGGCTCTAAAGAACAACTTTCTGAAGCATGCATTATTTGTTCTCTTTTTTCTAGGCTGTTGAAAATGCTTTTGTTCCTGTCATCAAATTGGTGTTTTGTAACATAGAGGTAAGTCTTGCTGCATGTATGTTGTGGTTTTTCCT